TCACTCTGCCACTTTGGAGTACTGGATCGACATCTTGAAGCTGGATGATGCCCTTGCAGAATGCCAGAGCGCTCCTGAAACTGTTGGCTCTGGTGGCTGGTGCTCCATCTCGTCGTAGTTGATCGACATACCGGTACACTTGGTCTTCACTGAGCGGAAAGGGAGGTAAACCCTTTGCTCGGGCCCATCGGACATACAGCATCATTGCACTCAACCTCACCTGCAAAGTTCCGTTCTTCTTCTTGGCGAAGATATCGTCCAGCACACTGTCACCTGACTGGTCGAGCATCCCAGCTGCTGCACATGAGTGCCTGGCTTCGTCAATCACGATCTTCCAGCCCTCAAGCACCTTTGCACGCTCAGTCTCAAGGGCCTGAGCCCATGGCATCTTTTGCCTTCCATCAAGCTTGAAGCTGGGTTTCAACTTTGAATCACCTTGGTCCTCTTCTTGTCCACGTACTTCAACATCGTCTTGAAGCATAGCATGAGGCCTCCATTTGTCTTCGTCGAGGAAGGCAGTCTCCATCACACTGGCGTCGCCTTTCAGCACCAGCCCTGCGAACCCACGCTCCCATGGCATCCTCAGCTCTATAGGCACGTGTGCCTTGAGCTTCTGAACCTCTGTAGTGCCCATATCATGGATGTTCAGGCTCGCTTCTGCTTCTGCCTTCCTCTTCTTGTCGCGGTCTTCCACCATCTTCTTGAGGACTTCCAAGGGGCTGGGCTTCAACTGTTCTTCTTCACTTGCACTGTCAGCTTCCATGACCTCCGTCGGCGACCCCGACCTGTTGTTCGTCACATCCTCCAATGTCATACTCTGGATCTCTCGGAGCCGGTTGGCCATCTCGTGTATGTCACCCACTTCCACTGACATCATTTGGAGGTCATCTGCTGTCATCGGGAGGTCCTCATCCACATTGATCACCACGGTCCCCCCCGCCACTCCTCCCCCTGACTGGGGGCCTGTGTCCTCGAACAGCTCCTCGAAGTTCATGGCTGCTCAAAAACTGGAGTGTGGGGGGGACGTGTCTTGTAGCCAAAATGGCACACGAATTCGACCGTCCATCAACCTTGTTGATTACCTTTTTCTAGTTATCAAAAGACATCATCACTGCGTGACGGTTTGCATATATATATATATATATATATGATCCCCGGTGACAAACTAGCATGTTACGTCCAGGAAATATGCTTTCCCGCTTGCCCTTTGGACCATTTTTGACCCGATGGACAAATAGGAGTGCCTGCATGGTTTCTCAGGAGAAGTGGACAGTTCTGGATGGAATCTTCACTGCCATGTCCTGTCTCATTTCCCCTATAGTCCAAAACAAATTGGAAGATTGAAGATCCCACAATCTCCCACACCTCTACCTGCTTGATGATCTTTCATGCAAAAGGCTGGCACTGTCCCTTGTGTTCCGGCGTGCTCCGGAACAAGTTCCTGGCTATCGTCATCTATCGTCCTCTATCGTCCTTCCCCCAAAAAAAGACCAGGCTTCCAAGCAGCAGCGGTGGCCGCGGTTTGAGACCGACCCAACGACCTGTTTGTGAGACCGACCGCTCCGCGATCGTTTCGTCCGCCTCCTACGGGACATGGAGTTGAGGACATCATGATGCTGCGCCAGGTTGGGCTTTAAGAGCCTTGGCATCCGGCGCCGATCCGGACGGACCGGCGGAGGGTCAAACGACGACGGCCGGGGGGTCCAGGCTTACGGCCCGGCTTGCGGACCTGTCTAGGAGGATGCTGATCGGGCGGCCCGGCTCCATACATGGAGTCGTACTGTGATATAACTGTGAAATGACGGTCCCAAACCTGGTCACGGTCCAAATCCGAAACAATGGTTAGTTTCATTACGTACGTAGTGACTTAGTGGGTCTATAGGTTTCATATGCCTTTAGACCACCGGATGGTGTCTTGGACATTTGAGTAGTACATCTTCAGTGGGTGCTGCAAAAAAAAGCCGGCCGCCACGTGACGCCCAATTCCCCGAACAGCACTGCACCTCCAATCCAAGTTGGCATGCCAATTCTGGGGTTCCCAGTTCCAACTTCTTCAAGTCTGGGGCTGAGGGGTTCCTTCTCTCACCGCCGTGGGATTCGCATAAGGTCACAGGTGGCCCGCGTACAATGAACGGAACAACCACGGTCGCAACCAGGTGCTCTGTCCTGTCCAAGCTGTTTGGAAGCCTTGGAAGACTACCAACATGTTCTGCAAACATGGGGGGGGGTGGCATAGTGACTGCCTGATGTTGATAGGGCCTCAGGGCGGCAAGGAGGCGACGTGTCGCCCTCTCAATCCATGGGGCGTCATCTTCCAGAAGCCTCAACTATAGCGATATAATTACGTAGAGATCATCCAACTGTGCACCATGTGTTGCCTTCTTTGGCAAACATTTATGAATATATGAGTTGGAAGATGTCGTTACCATAAGCGGATATGGAACACCGGCTATGCCGGTGTTGGAGCGCCCATCGGGTCTAACAGCTCACTCACCCACCATGGATGTCCAGTTCAACGCTTTTTGTTGGCATCAGTCGAAGCATCCAGGAGTATTTTTCCTGAAATCGGATCACCTGAAGATCACTTTTACAAATAGTCAACTAGATTTTCAGGAGTTACCTTGCTGTTCCTTTTTGGGTCACTGGGCCACCTGTTGTAAGAGGTGGCCTCATTTCAAAGTTCATCAACGGAAAGAGCTGGTCGTGATGCCATGTGAAAAACCCGGTGGCATGTCATTCTCTTATTCCGGCCCCTGGCGGTTGAGATCCTGAAATCCATTCATATTACCCAAACACTCCATGTATGGCATATTTACCTACATCGACCCCTAAGACCACTCCAATGTAGGCATATATGGCATACATGGAGTGTTTGGGTTAGAGTATTAGATCATTTTAGATCGGCTCCGCAAACGCACCAACTTGGGCTCCAAGCTTGTAACGCTCATCGAAGACCCGCCAGTGCTTGTGGTGGATGTACCCTTACAACCGGCGGGGATGATCACTTCAGCATGCGGCAGCCACCCAGGAATATGAGCATGATCAAACCAAAGGAGGAAGAGTCTGGCTTTCAATCTCTGACTGTGTTTGGAGCGGACTTGTCTGAGACTACGTGGATGGATGATGAGAATTCGATGGTTTTAGCAGCATTCTTTGAGCAAATGGTCACTGGATGATGCCAAAGAAGGCTTGGTTTAGATACACATTACGGTCCAGGTACGGCTTGGTTTAGATACCCATTAGGGTCCAGGTACCTCCTTGAAACCGAGGTGAGTTCCTACGAAACCAAAGAATGGCCTCGGGGAGCCACGGGTCTTCGGCGGGTCTTCGGGTCCATGGCACATCCGCCTCAGCAATCACCTCTTGCTCTCGAAGCGAGTGAAACCCCTCACAACAAGCCGTGTTGAGTGCGACTTCGACCAGTGCCCTCCCTGTTTCAGGTGCCAATCGGACTTGAACGAGTGTCTTCCCACTGTCAGCACCAGTTGCGCAAACTCAAGAACATCCTCCACAGCCCACCACGTCTGATCGAACTTCGACCAAACTGCACCTTGCTCTCTTCGGCCCTCAGGCAAAAATGTTCCACCCGAAGAATCAAACCCAAAGACCCTGGTCAAAAGCAGGATCAAAACCCTCCAGTCCGGATGGTCCAATGATGGTTAGGGCAAGTGGCACACCATCAAGGCCATCACAATAAAGACTGTGCACCTTTGCTGAGGACGGCTCGCCGCACCAAGGGCACCTGTAAAAATGATGTATAATCGACTATGGAGCCATTGGGAGGTGCACTTTGACTCTGTTTTTGTCCATTAGTATGCATGTGTATAGTATATATATATCTCTCTCTCTCTGTGTTCTGATGTTGTTGATTAGATTTGGATGCAGAAAAAGTCCATTCAACTCTGTGCCACCCAAGGTGATCAGTCACAAATGCAAAAGAACATGGAGTGTTTGTCACCGCTTCTTGTTGAAATGCTGCCGCAGCAAACAACTGGTTCGGCTGGGTTGTTCAAAATCCATGTATTTCGAAATCACTCTATAATAAGGATTAAGGATTAGTAGTTTTGAACAACTCAGTTTGGGGAGTCTTCATCTAGCTCCCGAGCGCCCTGATGCCCCCCCTTCCAGCTGACACCCTTCAAGTCCCAAGACTAACTGTCCAATCTTTAACAATTCTACCAGGCCATAGCCTGTCCAAAAAAGAAACGTTGACATGAAGGCTGATTAAAATTAACAAAGCCAACCATCCTAATTGGCTAGTTCTGCAGTCTGAACAAGGCACCCCTCTGCCGAAAAAAGACAGCTCTGCTGTGGCCGCTGTGGCCTTTTCCAAGCACTTTTGCCAGTCCAGCTTGCGCACTCCTTCGTGGCCCTGGACCCCCGTCCGGTGGAGCCTGGACCATCTCACCCTGGTGACCGCCCGCCAAGGGACGAACCTTTCGCCCGCGCCCAGCTCGGAGCTCGCGCCCAGCGTTCGATGGGCCAAGGCACATGAGGATTCCTAAGAATCGGTCCGAAGACTCGGGTGCCGCACGGTCGTCGATGTTCATCTTCCCCTGCGGAACGGCGCGGAACAGCGGAACGGCGCCGCGCGGACCCGGAAACGCGGGTTCCGCTGTGGGTCCGGAAGAAAAAACCCTTCGGGATACAGCGACCGTGCCAGGCATGTGGTCCAGGAGCTAATTATTTCAAGGAGAAGTTGTGAAGAAACAGCAGCTTCAGGAGCTCGACTTACTTCTTGAGACGGTGTAGTGTATTGCTCCCTCCAGCAATCATGGAGGTGGAACATGGTCCCCTATCCAAGAAGCACCTGTCGACTTCGCTGGAGGGAGGGTGAACTAGATGGACCTAAAGGGGGGTTCGTGTTGTATACTTGTGGTCAATTTAGGATATTTAGGGTGTAGCCCATTGCCAGCAACAGCCGGCAAAACAAATATCACGATGTTTTTTTTTTTTTTCAGAAATGCCTGATCTAGCAATGCGACACATGCCCTTTCGGTCAATTGGAATGTCAGGACGATCACAGATCTGTCCCTCAAGAGATCGCTCAAAAGATGCCTGGCTTCAGTACCTGGGGAGTGGTGGTCGATGTGGGAGAACGTCGGGTTCGGGAACGACATGCAGTAGTGATAGCCATGTCACATGCGTGCCAGTTTCATCCAAAGCAGCGCTTCTGAAGGCCATCGACATGATCTGTTCGCATTTGATAGACATGATCTACAGAACAGGAACATCTGACAACACGAAACAAAAACAAACAGGACCCTATTTGGGGTGGTCCAACAAAGAGGTCAGTCAGGATCTATAACCAACCACCCCTGGCACTTTCCTGGACAGTCATATGTCCCAAACAGGTCGTGTTGGGGCAAAGACATCCCCTCACCAGCTCGCCACAGAAGTCTCCTCCCAGTCATAGTTCTCCTCCGGCGTGGAGACTTGCAACAAACACATGCCCACACAGTCCATGTATATGGAATATACACTAGCACTCTCCAACAGGTCACCACCTGCGACGTTTAGGTCTGCAAAAGCCACTAAGGAGACCTGTTGGAGAGTCCGGGTATCATATATTATTATTATTATGCAAATATTATCAAATATTTGTATCTCCCTAAAACATCCTAATCTCGGCAAATCCTTGGCAGCGGTGTGTCGATCTTACCAACTCAAATGGAAAACACAATCAGTGGACACTGAATCCAACCTTTGGGCATTGGATTCCGCACCATTTCCCTACCGCTCATAGTACAGCCGCAGGTGCCGTGGATCGTGTGGATCCGAATTCGGCCAATCCCGGTCGGTCGTAAACCGAGCAGTAAACCGAGCAGCTTCCTTTACAAGCACCCAGGTCAGTTGCCCGAATCCCAACCCAAAAACATGCCTGGAACATTTGGAAAGGAACGTGAACCGAGCTTTCTGTTCATACTTCGTGGGGAAATGAATCAAGAAGGTTCAAGGTGATCCACGGACTACGAACTGGCTAGGGTTGCGTGCCAGTTGTTGAAGAATCGCCGAACACAGGAGTTCGGTGGCGTTCCGTTCCGGCGCATGAGTTCGGTGCGACCATGGGCACCACTTCAGTCGGAGAGGTGCATGGTGTACCGGGCCGAGTTCAGTCATCTGCATTCAGTCAAGCAGCTCGATCAAACTTCACCATCATGCCTCAGCAAACATGCTGAAATCTGCGGTCCCAATGTGTCAAAAATAACGGTTGGTCACTTTCTTCGAACGAGTTCGCTTGGGGCCTTAAGTATACCTGGAGTCTCAAGCACTTCGACAAATTGGTACAAGTACCTGCTTTTATGGGGTCAAGTCTCATTTTTTGGGGTACCTTTTGAAGGGTCTAGCTACATAGACATAGCCCAAACACGGACTGGCATGTCTTGCGGATCAGTTGGGGTGGTTGAAAAGGGTTCAATAATACTCCGGTGAAGTTTATCAGGGAACACGATTCCAACTCCCAGTGACCATTGACATGGCACACCTGCTTTTTTTTTAAGTCCTGCAGTCAGTCCTGCATGGAGAATATGGAAGCCATCGGATTGAGAGGAGGGAAAAGCTGCAGTGGCTAACGTCGACCACTACCATGATACAAGGCCGAATGAAGATTGGTACACTACAAATGCAGCACCCAGGAGATGCTAACATGGAATACGTCAGAGTAGTCAAGATCCAAAAAATCCAGCAACTGGAAATGATCCATCTTAGTGTCAACACGTTCCAGGGAATCCTGCCAGCTACTCCGCAAGCTTGTTTCGTGTGTCCACGCTAACATGGGCTGTTTCACAAATAGGGCAAATTTCCAGCAAATACTGTATGTCTTTGTTCTCTTCGCTCTGGCGGCTGATTGTTCATAATGTGCGATGGGGAAACCACATGCTGCACCACAAAAAACAAACAACGACATGTTATTTACATGTCGTTGCTGTTTTGGGTGAAGTGTGCAATTTCTCCGGCGAGTGTTCTTGGAGTCCGTCATGGTTATACACTTCAAATCCGGAGTGTCGAGCCAGACGAAGGGCCGGAAAAACGGAGAGATGGATCAACGCCCTCCACGAAACCCTAAACCCTCCACTCCCGTCCTCATGTCCAATTCTTTTTTATGCATTGGCTGCTCACAAAAAATACTGTGCCTCACTCAGCTGAGTAGTGATTTTGCAAGACCAACTCCAGTAAAACGAGGTCAGTTCCTGACTTGTAGGGGTCAAACTATGTTGACCTCCGCATGGCCGAAGCGACCCAAGTTTCCCCCTCCTCCCGGAATCCACGACAGCTCCGCCCATCCCCAAATCACCATCAAATCCTCCCCCACCAAAAATCCAACAGCGTGGCACTCAAACAGCTCAAACCATTAAATTCCTCCCTGCTTTTTCCGTGCAAGGAGCGAAGGCCACAGCTCAGGAGGAACATGGGCATGCTCAACAGAGCACCAAAGACGGCAAAGTGGCGCCAGGCCACGATGTTCTTGTTCAGGTAATAGCCTTGCTTTGGGAGGCTCGGACACTGGAAACATGCACCCGGTGCCAGCCTGGTGGAGTCTCCAGCCTCCAGCCTGGAGCCAGGCCCGGTCTTCACTCCAGGTGCCAACAGACTCTCCGACTTTCGCTCGGTCTTCACTATCTCTCACTGCCTAAGTGAGGCGCCCTTCATATTGAAATTAGGCGCGACGGTGAAGGGAACACTTCAGGTACCCTAGGGCTCCAACCACCTTCTGAGAAGGTGGTCGGGGTATGTTGGGGTGGGTTTGAACGGTTTGAGAGGTCCAACTACCTTCTGAGGATGTGGTTGGAACCGGCGTACTAGCCTGCATCCTGGGTGACGTGGAAGCAGTGACTCTCGTTTTGGCTGGAATATCCAGGTTCACCTCTTTTCCGTTCATGGCAAGTAGGGAAACCAACTTAACTCTATCAGTTTGCTTGGAACCAATGCTGTTTTTTCACCATGGTCCCACGGTGAGATCACTCCGTGAGAAAAAATGCAAGCAAACATCCCAACTGTCAAAGGGGAATATACCAGGACCTTCAGTACGTGACCTAATTTGATATCCCTGGTTTGAGGTCACCGACAGGTCTGCACAAGGTCACAGACAGAGACTCCAAAGAGGCCACTTTGAAGGTCCTAGTATATATATTATATATATAGTTGAAGTTATGTTTTCGTCATATGAATTATGAATTCAACAATGAAATCGATTGGTGATATATAGATCAGTGGAATTGATGGGACACTGAGGTCAGTGTGCTACGTTCGGAGCCTTGTTTTCTTTGGCCTCCCGAAAGTCCAATCTGCCAATGTCGAACCCGACACCTCGTTCGGACGGTGTTGGATGAAGATTGAAGAAGGAACAACGTGACATGTATTCAAGCATGCTCAAACATACTCAAACGCATCCGAAACACTCCATGCCATGTATGGAATGGACATTGACCCCTGAAACCACCTGGGATAGCCCTATTCCAGCCCCGTTAGAAGTCCAACAACTCCCCCTCCTCTGCAGTTTCTCGTTCCGCCAAGCCACACGCGGCCGACTCAAAACCTGCGGAGGGTCGACCCTCGAAACGTGGCGCGTCCCCGAGGTCCGATCCGGTCGATCCGACCTGCTGGGCCTCGGAGGATAGGTCGATGTTCAGCAAGCGCCAGCGGGTCGAGAGTTTGGGGTCTCCTAGTCCCAGACACGACCCGTCTGGGACTGCCATCATATGCCGATCAAGCCAGACCCCCCTGGCACCACCCCTGGCCGTAGTCCTATGGCAGTCCGTCCTGGCAGTCCCAGACGGGTCGTGTCTGGGATTTGCACACCCTGGATCCTTTTTCCGGATCTTTGCATCGGTGTGGTATCGCAACAGGTCAGCCCAACTGTTTTGCCGCAACTTGCCCCAACCAATGCCAGGGACCCAAGATCCCTTCACTGGACAGTTCTTTTGACCCGGATAGAGGCCAAAACCCACCTGAGGTTCCTGTCGTTGACGAGAGTCTGAGATGCATTTATCTCCATCCTCCAAGAATCTGATAAACCCACCTAGTGGATCATGTTGGAGGATGCAAAGAAGTCTGAGAGCCAAGTGATGTTCTCTTCCACCCACGGCCGTGCGATTTTAGCACCTCAAAGTGGACACGACAAGAAAACCAGCAACACCGACGACAACATGGCCGCCAAGAGAGAGCTCACCACCTCCAAACCATCCATGTATAATACTGTAGCATATACACATACAATCCCTATGGATCCACATACCGAACCTCAGGTACGGTGATTGGAGACTATTTATGTAGGCTTGGGGGACCCAATTACCTTGTGAGAAGGTATGTGGATCCATAGGGAATGTAGGTATCCATCAATTATGTCAGTTCCACGGGGTGTTGGAGGTTTAAACACCACCCCGAAAACACCCACGCGTTCCGAACCAACACCTGGGCGTGGCACCGCCTTAGTCTGGACCCCAGGATTCGGCGCCTGTCGGGCCAGCGGTCATCAATCGGATGGTGTGATACGGCTGCGCCACGCCCACATAAGTGGCGATGATGTTCAGGAAGTGCACGACGGCGAGGAGCAGAATCCTGAGGAAGTGAACTCACCCACCGAACCACACTGGAACATGTGCAGAATACTCCAGCGTTTTTCGCCGTGCCCCCTGCGGTGTTCACCACGCCAAGGGCCACACGGCGGCTTCGGGCGTCACTAGTGGATCTACTGTTTCGCTGGCCATGCTGCCACAGAACCCAAACATATGATCTTCCACACATACCCACCAAGCCATCCCAGTGGTTTGTGTTGCTCGATTTCCCCATCCATAACACTTCCCATCACAGCATGGCATGGTAGATCCCATCATACCATTCCCTACAAAAACCACTGTTATGTAGCTTTGGAGGGTCCATCCGGATCCGGATTCGAAATGGGAGGACCCAGGGGCGCCAAAGGGCGACGAAGGCCGAAGGAGTGAGGCATGTCGCAAGGGACGGAAGAAAAACCATAGCACCAAAATTCCCAACTCTGACCGCACCTTGCACCATGTTCCTATAGTCAAACAGCTGACATATGCTAACATATGCTAACACTAAAAATAAAAACACATAGCCTGGAGTCGACCCGTTCGTACCTCGGAAAATGGGTACGTTTGTACCTGTTTTTATAGGGTCATGTCCCATTTTCTAAGGTACTTGAAGTCGGGTCCAGGAATAAACGACACAGCTTCGAACCTCGGTGCCCGACGCTGAGCCGACGGCGAGACCGCCGAGTACGTGTGTTCTATTTCGGCCACGGGCGACCTCTGCCGACGATGGCAGCTCCAAGTGTGAAACTACCCAAACGCTCCGTTCACAGCCCGACCGGTCCCTCAAAGCCCAGGGGCTTGAGACCCCAGACCCCTCCAGAGGATTCGGGCCCAGGGTAAGGCAAAAAATCAACAGAATTTTCAGACGAATCAGAGCACACACGTTCAAACACGGCACATTGTTCTTTTGAGCACAGGTGTGAGAACAACACACACACACACATCTGGCTGAATTACCATATGTATCCATATGTTGTAGGTCGTTGGGTCGTAATTTGCTATGTCAAACTTAATAGGTCGGTGACAGAGCGAAATGATTGGCCCAGTCTTGAGTAGAGTGTAAGAACCCCTATCCCTAGGCTTCCAAGAACCATTAATTTAATAGGCTTTACCCAATCAACTAAGGATTTTAGAATACAAAAACCAGGTCAACCATTGTTTTAACGGTCTTTGACTCCCAGGGCTATGTAATTGGTGTGACCTTGTTTCTACACTCTTTGGGGAATTGAACCATGCAACGAGATATGACGCGATTTCACATGCCACCCGGACTTCACATGTTTACGTGTCCATGAGGGAGATGTCTACTAGCGTCCTTGCTACTAGTAACTCCTTGCTCTTAGTCGAACACCTGGTTGTGGGATTCTCATCAGCCGGGGCTTTCGCGAATGCTCTCACCCGTCGCTTCTGCGACCCGCATGTCTGCAGGCCTCATGTCCAAAATGCGTGCACCCTCGCCACGTTCGCGGCGGAACCATGGTCCTTTTGAATTTAGCATGTGGCTCACAAACAATTCACGTATTCCACTAAAAGCTTTCGCAACAACTTGAGCAAGAACATGCGAAGCTTCCTCCAGGCTTTCGCGCCCTGGGTTCTCATGTCGCCTTTTGCAGGCGTTCCTCATGCGTTCCTCATACCGAGGATCGCTGCCGCTCTCCCAATCTCCCGCGTGCCAGCCATTCCGACGAAGGCTTCAGCGGCCGCGGAGCACGGCCGTCAGCGTCAGCGTCACATTTGGACCTGAATCATCACCTCCAAATCCGGATCTTTGTGCGAGGTCTCCCCTGCGTGGTCGGACCTCTCATGGTCGGACCTCTCGGAGCATCCGACCTGGCGCCACCAAGCGATGGAAGCTGGGGATGAAAAGCCTTCAGCGCCCAAGTTCCACATGCAGGACATCAAAGGGTAGGGAGCTGACTTGAGGACGCCGAAGTCGAAAGCACTCCAGTTCCTGCAAAGTGATGTGTCTTGCAGAATTGTTGAATTGGCTGGAAGCGAATCCTCGTTTTTGACGAAGGGGCTTCACACGTCAGGTCAAAAAGGGGCATCAAAACAGCTCGAGCCTACCTGTCCTGGAATTTCGCTGATGGACTGTGGCTCCGGCACGAAGTAAGACTTCAGCTGCTGCAAAGAAGCCTGAGATGAGACTCAACATGAGCGGCGTTGCCAGGTGTTGGTGGTAGCCGATGGCCGTCAATGTGGATGGAGATACTCGATGCACCAGGGCCAACAGCCCATTGACGACGGAACGTGTGAAATCTGTGGGGTAGCATTGCTCGTTCACATCACACCTTGGATTTGCCGAAGAGTCCTGGAAGAAATAAACCTATTCCCGAGAAGGGGATGTATCCATGTAGGGAAAATGAAACATATTATCCTTTTGAAGCAAAACCAGGACACTTGGAGTTGATGAGAGCTAAAATGAGGTCTGGATCACCACCTGAAAAGCTCAAAGCAATGTGTAGCAAGAACCTCTCATTTGGCACGTATGCCTCTGCCTGCAGAATCTCTCTGGCAGTAGTGGCATCTCCCGCAGCACAGGCCCACTCCAGGGCAGTTCCGAGACCTTTCACCTTGGATTTGCCGTCCAGGAACCGGAGAATAAATTTTTAGCAGAAGGGGATTCACCCAGTTCGGGAAATTCAAAAAATCATCCCAAGCAAAACCAGGTCACCCTGACTGATAGATTGGCACGAGCTTCGCAAAGGAGTCGGGCTGCTTGTCCACTTGAAGCAGGAGATGCCAAAAACATGGGTGTTCTCCCATCGGCAGATTGCTGGTTCACATCAGCCCTTGCATTGAGAAGAACTTGCATTGCTTCATGGTGTCCAAATGCGCCGCTCACGTTCAAAATACACGTCTTTTTGGCAAAAATCAGCCGTTTGCAGCTCTTCCTGATGGAATCCTTGGGATTTGCTTGCTTGGCCAGCAGTGATTCCACAATTTCCGAGTCTCCTCTCATGGCAGCATAGCACAAGGGAGACCACCCAGCTCGATCATGTTCATTGATCTTCGAAAAGCCATTCTGCCACAGAAACTCCTCCACTCTTGACCGTCTTTCTGCATTCAACGGAGGCAGCAGCCCTGCCACAGGTGTAATGTCACATGCCCTGAAGCGCACATACTGCTGGTTCAGGAAAAAACGGTAGCCGTGCAAGTCCCCCTGTCTCAGTAGCTCGAGCAACTTCTTCTGTAGCATATCTTTCATAATGCCTGCAACCACTGGAAGGTCACTTTGAATAGTGAAGTCACCTTCTCCAAGTGAACAAAAGCTCCTCGGTAGTAGCAGGTTTCATGAACTTTTCCATCTGTCCTACAGGTCTAACAGTTACACAACCAACAAATAGTAAACATCATGTCCATGTCGCTCTGGCTAACTTGGACTTGCTGTCCAGGAAATTGCTTAGAAAGGGAATTCACCCAGTCCGGGAAAAACTTCAACAGCCCACTGAATCACCAAGCTAAGCTCGCTTGAAACCGTTGAAGAAACATCAAGGGACCACCTTTTGGGCCTTTGTCCTTCTGCTGAAGTCTTTGAGACCATACGGCATGACCTCTGTGTCAAAAACACAGGTCAAAAGCTTCGTAAGGGTGATTGATGGTTCTAGGTCCTAGGTCTGAAACAACCGAGCACCAAGCTTCGCACCCCAGGATGGCAATAAGGTGATTTGCTTGGGGCCCTCAATCATGAGAATCAAACTCTCGTGTTGTGCAAGCTCTCGCACCATCTTCTCACATCTGCACCAACCACGCCTGGACCAGCTGTATTGATTCAGAGTGGAGGAGGTGTCCAAATGCTTCAGGACAGGGCATAAAGCAACAAAGAAGACGCACTTCGCGATGTAAATCGGAATGCTCAGGATGGCCGATCGCATGTCCTCGAAAGGATTTTGGCTGACAGATCTCGAACTGCGAGCTGCGTCGGGCTGCGTCGCCAGCTGGGGGACGCAAAAATAGTCATACCACACGAAGATGGGAGCTGAAGCCAACTCCTGACCCCAGCCCGTGTCTGGAATACGGAATACGTTACTTATATGGAATTTGGAATGTAAATGGAACATGGAATTTGGAATTATGGTCCAAACACATTAATACATTGACTGGCCCCCTCCCAAAATGTGGTCCTTTCTGGAATAGCCTTTCTGTCGCCCCAGCATCAATTCCGTGCCCGGATCCAAGGACACCAAGCAAAGTCCCCTCAAAACATTGGACATGGCCTCCTGAAAGACCCTCAACTGCTCACCTCTGGGATCTGGATGATGGTTCGAAACCTGCTGAGGCGATCCAGCGACTTGGCCCCAATTCTTATATTCTTAAGTCCCGACAAGGTCGGATTCCCAAAGTAGTGGAGGGGACAAAACCACAAAACCAACGAATCTTCCATTTCCACTACCAGACACCCATTGATGCGAAACGAACATAGCCTTTCCAAGTGGTTGCTCATACTTGATCAAGAGCCCGGCTTCGCGCAGTTCCTGGTGGTTTCGGAGCTCTTTCATGTGAAAAACCTCCTCTAAAGGCAAAGTGAACATCGGGTACTGTGGCTGTGGATTCTCATCCGCTTGCGCTTCCCGCAAGGACTTGGAGTACTTCGCCAAGGCAGAGGGAGCGCGTTTACCGCAACGGCTTGCGCAAGCCATGGGCAAAATTATACGCAAATAGAAGCAAACTGGTCAATCTTGGTCATAGATCGATCCTATACAAACTTCCAAATTATAGTGCTTTGAAATTCAAGGCATGGTTCATTGGCATCATTAAACGCATGTTATTGTTTCACGAATTGCATCATATCCGTATCGCCAAGATCGCTGGTTGAACCACGTCTTTGCCATGCGTTTCTCATGCAACCCCTCGCATTCGTCACGGGTCACAGGTCAACCTGCTTCGTCGAATTGAAAGGCGCTTCGTCCACCTGGAGTCGACCTGTTCGCTCCGAAAATTGGGTACGATTTGATGCGGTCATTATGGTCATGTCATGTCATGTCTCATGTTCTAGGCTACTTGAAGTCGGGTCAGCGGCATATCCATGTATCATGCATGTATCACTCTGACTCCGTTTCGTCACTGTGTCTATGTCGTCCGTCTGTTCTGCCGAGCAGCGCTGCCAGCTGAAACCAGGAATCGATATGATTCTGCACCTCACAGCGAGAAGTCCACGTCAGGGCACGGTACGACCGCCGAACAGTCCTGTTCGTCGCTCGCTCTGTTTGGTTCGTCGCTAGGTTCATCTAGCCCGAACCGGGTGTCCTCCAAATAGCAAGTGGGTGTCCAAATTTCTACCCATCCGGTAAGCTCCAAAGCACAAGCTGGCAGTTATTTCCAATTTGCTGCAATTTGCAAACAATCAGCACTTGCACGCATCACGTGGCATCCCATTCAAAACCATAATGATGGCAAATAGCACCAAGTTCAATTACCAGGCTCCATGCGCACATTGCAACCCAGCCAGCAGGTCAAAAGGTTGAATCTTCGCTTATGCTATTTTTCACTTTGATCGTCCATGTGACGCGACATTGTCCCCCCACTACCACATCCCCTCAACAAGCCGCGGCTCTAAGAATCACGAAGCTTCAAGGCAACCTTCAACGGACGCGACCGTTTTACTCGAACAACTCTCACCTCGTCCTAAAGCCCCTCCAGAAGCTTAAAGCTTCAAGAAGCACACACCACAAACTCAAACAGGTTGTGGCTGCCAGTAAACTGGCACACCGGCTGCCAGCTAGCTGGCAGTCAAATAGCCTACCAAGGTTAAGCGCACCCAGCTCAAAGCCCCGGCCCTTCTGCTTTGGTCTTTGTTGGAAACTGAGGTGTCCTTACTGAACCAACACAATTTAACAGTAAAACCGTGACAAGTCCTTTATGCCAAACAGGTTTGGCAACACCTCATTACTCCAAGTGCAAAGCGGTTGGACCCTAGGTTTACCAAGTGTTTGAGGTTTTCCTGGCCAAAAAGATTTGGCAGGCTATATTTTGACGGGTTTTCCTGGCCAAATGGATTTGGCTGGTCAAATTGCGACGGGTTTTTTAAAAAGCCCATCACATTTTTGGTGGCCAAATCCATTTGGCTGAGTGGTTTTGCTCAGAAAACCCATCACAATCTGGAAGCTCGGTTGGCCCCAGAAAAGCGATGGGTATGATGGTTTTTTAAAGAACCCATCGCAATTCCATGTTTTGGAAAAACCCATCACTTTTTGAAGTTGGTGATAAGCTGGAAAGTTTGACGGGTTTTCGTTTTCCTTATTTATATAATTGCGACGGGTATTTCAAAAAACCCATCACATTTTGGGGCTGGGGCCCCGGTTTGAAACCTGACGGGTTTTCCCGGCCAAATCAATTTGGCTGGCAAAATTGTGACGGGTTTTCCGTCTCCAACTCATTCATTCCTGCAAGGCCCCATTGATCGAGCTTGGCCGGGCGCAAGGCACTGAAGCTTCGGGCGCACATTGCACCTACAAGCTCCAGGTGTTTGCATCCGACTGCTCCAATTATGATCTTCCAATCCAAGATCGTTGAGCCTCCGCTCCTGAGCACCAATACAAGGTAAATGTCAAACCGAGAAAGTTTCACACGTCCAAGCTGGGCATATTGAGCAATCAGCATATAAGCGCAGTGGTTGGTGCTTCCAGCTGGCTCAGGCAACCCTCGGGGCCGCACAGACCTACATCAACACATGACTCCGCAGAGGGTCGAGAAAGATCTGGCAAATAGTGTGAAGTACGAGTTGGACCTACTGAAGTTGCAACGTCCCGTCAAAGTCAAGCCTTTCTTTTTGCAGCTCCGACAAGTCCACGTTCTCCATCCAAGTGCTTTAAACATCTTGAAGCGAAAGCTCTAAATGTGGCGCAAAAATTTTGAAATAGTGGTGCTTGGCTGTGGCGCCAGAAGCGGTGGATAATATTCCTGGTTGTGAGGAAGGAGATGGTCTCAGCGGACTCTTCACAAGTAACGTCTCCATCATCATCATCATCATCATCATCATCATCATCATCATCATCATCATATCTCCACGCTGGCATGGCTGCCCGCTACGAAGAAATTGAAATTCTTGAAGTTCCATGACTGTATATATGGGTCAGTCTTGCGTGTATCAGGCGCATGTGGATGTTGCCGTTACATGCTTTTAACGGAGCCAGCAAGAAACTTGACAACAAGGTTCCATTCCAAATCAAACACCCGCTTGCTATTTGGAAGACACCCGGTTCAGCGTCGCTGTTGTTGGGTTCGGTTCGACACCGGTCCGTTCAACTGCATGCAGCGGCATGTACGACGCGGCTTCAAGGAGCCTGAATAGTGGTAGATTACATGAAATGACCCCATAAACCAAACAGGTGCTTCTGTGCCCATTTTTCTGAGGTACGAAAAGGTCGACTCCAGCTGCTAATACAAAACAAATCTTTACAGAGACTGAGTGCGTCTGAGAGCTATTTCATAAAACTGTTGAAGCTGAGCTTTTTAGGGAGAAAAAACATTTCACTCTCTCCTGGAACCGGAAGGTCTAGGTCTGTTGATGCATAATCCCCCCAACATGAATTGTAACACCTTTCTACAGTTTTAGCATAGTTTGATATGGTTTGATTTCTTTGATTCAATAACACGCTGGTCCAGTTAAGCAGCTCCAAACCTGGTCCTGAAAACGTAACAGTAGTGTTTTCGATGATCAACTCCAGCTTTCCATGAGGTCCGTTCACTCCATGGATGACGAACCCATCGTACAGTTCGACAAGTCGATACAGTTCGATTGACGTCGACCGGCAACGACACCGACAGTCGCCCAGCATCCATCAATGAGCAAAAAGGAGAGGAAAACACATTTGATTGACACAGGTGGGTCGCTGGATGTCCCTGGGTGAATATCTTAAGCATTCTTAAGCTATATCAACCTGGTTCTTCAGTTCGTGACCTGACTTGATAACCTGGTTGGTTCGGTCACGAACAGGCCTCCGGACACGGGTCACGAAAAGGAACCTTCAAAAGGTCACGTACTGAAGAAGCTGGAATCGATTCATAAAATATGGCCAAACAATCCGCGCATGGGACCGGAAGGTTTTACCTACTTGCCAAGTAGATCCTCAAAACAGCTTAGACCTATGGCAACCTTGGCCTGGTTGCCATATAGGGTTGCCCTATATGGATTGTTTGGGGACCCTTTGAGCCACAGCTTTGACAAATTGCAAGGAGTCTTTGACATCCCATGCTAGGTTGGTGTCCAGTTTGCTCGACAAATGGAGTCTTAGGGCCTGGCGGCCTGGCTGTTCGCAATCATGACATGAAAAGGCCGAGTCTGGAAACAACAGGAACCCCGTGAAACCTCAAATCCCCTGAGAGTGAATCAACAAATGACACTCCAACATCTCCAACTTTGCAACAATTTGTGACACTTCGGCAGAAAAAGGTTTCTTTATGGGTTTCTTCTTCTCCATGTCTCAGATGAAAAACGCCACCCCCCAAACAAAACAAAAAAGCATCACTCGATTCAACTTGACTTCCAAGTGGCACTGCCCTTGAAAGTCAGGGCCTTGCTCATATCAAACAATGAGTCCTTGGAGCCCCGGGGATGTCACGGACGGAGCGCGTGAAACAATGGTTTTCACCTCATAGCGAGCGATGGCCTCCAAGCTAGAAGGGGTCTTTCCTCGGTTTTCAGATCACTTTTGGGTCCAACTGGACCTGTAGTAGGGAGTGAGTTCGCCGGAATTGGCACCAAGACCAGCCAGGACGACTGGCTGGTCGTGGTTGGATTGGTGACCGCCCTGGTTGGTCGCCTGCTCCTTCCCACTGATCAACATGCACATCGACGGGTGGTTTTCCAATGTGGGACATGTTGAAATCACACCGACACCGAACACGGAACCCGCTCGACGGACGCAGGGCGAAGCTATAAGCATGAGCGGACACATCACTGAACCCTCGACATGCACACGTTCCTGTTAAGGTACACTCCGACGAACACATGACATGGAAGTGGAAACCATCCTGTTGGTAGAGGAAAGCTTTCCCGAAGGCCATGTTTCACATCCATGCTTGTGAGTCAGAGAGTATGCATTTTGTTCATGTGTTCTACACCCATCAAAACACGTGCGGCATGCTATGCTCTCTGCTCTTGATCAAAATCACACATGCCGACATGGACAGCAGAATCAGCTGCCCGGTGCCATCAGCTGCCACCCCATCATCGACGCACGTGCGTGAAGCTGCGCCGAGCATCCAAGGAGTTCTGGACCATTAAGCCGGCAACGACGCCCATCCCTGCAAAGGCAGCCAAGCGATAGCCCAAAACATTGTCCTGACGTCTACGCGGTGGCGGGAGGGCTGGAGGGATGATCATGTGGGGAATGGAAGCGCTGACCTGGTTTTTGAGTAGATGGGGAATACCTCAAAGATCTGCATGTGTTATAAAGGGTGACATAAGTTATGTGACATAAGTGACTGAGTCCTGATCGGAAAAAACACCAAAAAACCTATGCGCTATATAGAAAGTCGAACTTGAGTCCAAGCTGTGCGACTTACGAAGAAGGAGGGTGAGCCGTTCGCCCGTTGGGGAGTTGAGGAAGGTTGGATGTTCCGCGCAGTGACCAACGGATGTTCTTTGAAGGACACGGGAGAATTTCCGGTACCAACACCAACAAAAGAATGGAACCGGATTTGCCCTGTGGAGGGACGGTTTCTCCAAAAGAACGAACCCCAAACAGGGCGTTCCAATGGGCAAGTACTATAAGAAGGCCATACCAGTCGACCCGTGGGTCCGACTGCACCCACTCCAGTCAAAGCTGCCGGTGGTGCCGTAGGGGTCCGGTCTTTCTGGTGCAGGATGATGTTGGTCCGGACGACCCGTCTGGGACTGCCAGGACTGGAAACGGGCCCGGGGTGGTTGAAAGGAGGTCAATGTATATAGGCATCTATGGCAGTCCCACGCGTCTGGGTCAAATGCGGCAGGTGGTGACCTGGCAGTGAGGGTGCTGGTAGGTACATTTCACCTGACACCGTACTCCTCTTGTTGGCCTACTCCTCTTTCCCATGCGATTGAATGATCAAGAAGGGAAGGTTATGGTAGGTTTAACATGCCCGAACGACTGAACGACATGGCAACCGCCAAATGGCGGGTGGAGCTTCCACCGCTGGCGGGCGGGCGAAGAAACCGACGGACTGGTCCCTCGGACGCCCCGGACTGGTCCCTCGGACGCCTGAAAGAAACGCGGGTCATTGGTGATTTCCATCGACTCGCTCTTGGCAAAGAGACCACCTGGCGACGCGAGCCAAGTGGAAAGCATGCACCCGTTTGGGCTCGTAGCTTCTCAGAAGGTGGGACTGGGGTGGGTTCGGGTCCAGTCATAGTCATCACTTCGTTTCCGTTTCGGTAACCTCCTGGAGCCCAAACGGGGAACAAATGTCCCGCAAAGTCTGGAAGAACGCTGATCCGAAAACATAAACGATCGCACGGTGTGCCAACTGCAAGGCTCGGTGCAGGTCCCCGCGGTCCCAAGCCTCGTGTGTTTCCCCCGAACAGACCAAAAAGCATGTGTTCGGTCCGGTTCCGAAGGCTTTGCAGGTCGGTGAGCCGTCTGGAAACGCAGAAGAGGCTGGCCACTCGCCCATACTAGCCCATACTAGACTTCACAGTTTTTGAAGGCTTTTGAGTCCTGACTTCGTGCACTTCCGCTCAAGCGGCCGTGGGTTAGGGCCATATCACATGAACACCTCCCAACCCAGAGGACGCACAAGATTCAATATACCCTAGGGCTCCTGTCCCATCTCCTCAGAAGGTGGTTAGACCCCCCAAACCCACCCCAACCATCTTCTCAGGAGGTGGTTGGAGCCCTAGGGATAATCAACTTGATATGACATATACCTGAACATACCTGGACCAGTACCTGGACCCTCCAAAGGACACAAAATGGGTCATGACCCCATTAAAACTAGTACCCATTTTCTCCAATTAAGTACTTCGGTACTTTGAGCATATATGTATCGACCTGGTATATTATCAACAGAGTAGAGTAGACAACTGATCTGTAGTGCTACTGTATATATGTCATGCCCGTGGTCGCCGTTGTCGAATGTCTGGTTCAGCACTGCAGTGAGAAACCAGTTGCCAACGAACAAAGTCGTTGGGCGGGTCATGTTGAACATGACTCAATGGCCTTTGCAAGACATATATTGTATATACTGACTATATAGTTAATAATATCAGCAGTAAACAACAGTAAGCTTAGCAGTTCAAGTGCCAAGCACAAAATTGTCTCGAGCTGTGTTGATCCTTCTTTCCTGCCATGCCGTCTCCGTTGTTCTTGCCCTATGATGTAATTACTTCTCATTCTGACCTTACCTCCCACCTCATCGCCGCACCTTTCTCCACCTTCACGCCGCACCCAATCGCCTGCTGAGACAAAGGCTTCGACAGGAGCCTGGTCCGCGTACTCGCCACCGCGCATGAGCGAAGGGCCTGACCGCCGTAGAAGGTCAGGTGTCGCGCGGCAGGGGCTGGTGGGTTCTCATGTCGACACGGACAACAGCTCTGAGCCGGATTGAAATGAAGCTCAAATCAAATACAGGCCTTGCGTCAAAACATGTCCATGTTAAAACTAGTTGTTCGCGGTGTATGCATTGACCATTTAGGACGTCCCTCCGATCATTTTTCTAGGTTTTAGTCTTTCCACGCGTCCACCTCTTTTTCGCATTCCAAGCAGGTAATGAAACTTGAGAAAGGGAAGGTGGACGAACGGTTGGGTTGCGCATCGACGAGTGGGTAGCAGCTGCAGCTGCCCCACCAGCCCTAGCACACCAGCAGGGGCAGCAAACCTGAAGCCAGGCAACCAGCAGCACAAGATCGGCAACAGCACCAGCAGCAAACCAGCAAGCCAAAATCAGCAACAAATCAGCAGCAACACCAGCAAGCCAAAAGCAGCAACAGTAGCAGCAAAGCAGCACACACCAGCAAGGAGGAGTTAGAAGCAACAAACGCAGCGGCAGCATCAGCAAAAGCAGCAGGCCAGCAGCAAACCAGGCAGCAGGATGATCTGGGGTTGTCGCAAGTGCCACAGCTACAACAGCTGCTCGTTCCTGTTTTCTTGGCAAAGTAGCAACGCAGGTTTGCGAGTCCCAAGTGTACGTGCGGATTTCTCGTCAATTGGCTGAGAAAACATACCTTGTGAGACTCCTTGGTATCGGTATCGTTGGGGTATCGGGTATCGTTGAAATCAGCCATACATGGAATCAAAAACGGCTCCGCACTCTATGCCAAGCTATTCCCATCAAGGTCAAGCTGAGTGGATTGGCCGTTTGCAGGCCAAAACGGCTCTCAGATTCATGCCAAGCTCTGGCAACTTTATAATGACTCTATAAGGATCTTCCCATCTCACTGGCTGTAATGCAAGTCTTAGGGATATGGTTTTTAGGACGCCCCGTTCTGCACCAAACATCCCAGTTAAACCTAGTTCCAGTCTCTGCCTCATATAGGGTTCTGGCATTAGATCTAAGGGCTTTTAATATATAGAGTCGTCTAATTAGTTGTCAAACCCTGATGAAACACAAGGGGCCACGGGTCTAAACCAGTGGATCCCAGTCACATTCTCTTTCAGTACCCACGTTTTGTAGGGTCAACGGCCGTCTTTGGAACCAACTGCTTCCCCAATGCCCCAAACACTCCATGTATGTATAATATGCCTGAATCGACCCCTGAAGGGTTATGCACCCCAACTGATCGTCCCAAACAGGTCGAATCTGGAGCACTGAGTGCTTCCAAGAGAGGTGTCGAGTCTGGAAAAGACCAACAGAGGTTAAGTGACCGTAAATAGGACACTATACAGGGGTACCTATATGGGATAGCCTAGTTCGGGTTTTTCAACCTCTGTTGCTTCGTCGCGCGATCCTCCGGGCACGCTCCAGGATTCACATGGACGGCCTTTGCGGCGCGGACGCTTCGCGCCTCCATGCTCCAGCATCGTGAAGACCTTGAAGCAAAAGAGTGAGGCACTGAATCTTCCTCCAAACCGTCCGAAGTCTCAAGGGTGATGCGGATCGTGATTTACAAAGCTGAGGGCTTCCAGTCACAGACCAGCCTGGTCGAACGGAGTGGTCATCAACGGGGTAGATGTATGTGACTCTTCCAGTCCCAGACCAGTCTGAAACCGTTTTTCTTTAACCTCGGCGCCGTGAATCGGCACAGCGTGGCGTTCTGCCCCCCATACCACCTCCGCGCTGGACCGGAGCATCCGCTGCACGCCGCCGGTGTTTTTGAGCAGTGGGGCGCCGGTTAGGCTCGATGGCACAGTGTGGCACCCGAAGGGGGTCCTTATAAAGCACCAAACCACCTTCGAAACGGAGGGATCAACCACCAAGGAGCCCTATAAACCACCAAACCCAAGGGGATTGATGCCACCGAACCTCTGATGGCCACAGGAACCCCCACCGGACCAGAGACAAAGACGAAGCGGCCGAGTGGGCGAACCCGGATGGTCTTGAACGGGCTAGAAGGGGCTCACCATGGAAGGGTCGGGAATGCTGGTAACATCTTGTAAGTATTATACCCGCCTATAGGATTCCAAGTGCCTGAGAAGGTCTTTCACGCGGATTTGGGTCCAAAGATCGCAAGTACGGCTGGGAGGTTCTCCAGGGATGCATTCCTTCCCCATTCTCCTTCAGATCTTCCAGTTCCAACAACCTCCACGTCCACCTGCCCGAACCACCGGCGGCACGACCGCGGCACCCGGTGCTTTCGATCCAGTCCCGCTCGCTCCGGTGCTGAAAAGCGGGTCGTGTGGCTGCGCGGAGCTGAAGCCCAGGTGTTGCGGAGGGCGAAGCGGCGGTTCGGCACCCAGAAATGCCCATGCCGGGTTCCTGGACCATCCATCTGGGGTGCGGTGGCTAGAGACTCGGAAGTGTGGTATGTTCCCTAGGGCTCGTCCCATCTCCTCAGAAGGTGGTTAGACCCCCCTGGCACCCACCCCAACCATCTTCTCAGGAGGTGGTTGAAGCCCTAGGGGTTGTAGCCTGTTTTTTTTTCCCCTGGGGATCCATCAAGTACCGAACCTCAGAAGATACGGCTGGACCCTCCAAACCTACATTGTGTCTCCAATCACCTTCTGACAAAGTACAGTACTTGGATCCGGCGGAAAGCAAAAGAAGTTGTTCCCCAGGGGCCAACGGGTCCAGCCATTCGATTTGGCAAAGATCATTCTCTGGAAGTCATTTGGACCTCCAAGACCATCCCCGAATAGGAGGTATCTGGACCCGGGGTTCAGTCTTTATGCGCCGAAATCTTCAGGGCATTGCTCCATTTCACCACGGAAGTCAAAGGTGTTTCATAAACTGAGACTCAAGTTGGTCGTGCTTTGGAGTGCTCATCTCCGCTGAGCCGCGTGAGAACTCAACCATTTGTGGGGGGCCTGGATCCAGTTCCAACAAAAGCGTTCCAGACCCAACGATCCATGGAGTGTTTGCATGGCAAATCATTGGTAATATGGTATGCATCTAAAACACCCTACCAGCAGTCACAAAGGGGTGCGATCCATGGAGGTTAAGGGTGCCCAGCTACTCCACTCACTTAGGGACTAAACTCCACCCCGAAGGGTGTGACTCCTGGTAGTGGCAAAAAGAATGGACCGACCAATTGGACCCCACATCTCGACATCTGAAGCCGGGCTGTCCAGGCACCTGAAAAAAGAAAGCACTGTCTAACCATTTTCCCCAGAATAGAGGATTTACCCAGGACCCGGGAAAACATCACCTGATCTGATCAGCAAAAACCTCCTCTGGTTACCCAAGACGCGACCCATAAAACTGCCATAGGACTGCCGATCAGGCCAGGGGTGGTTTCGGGGGCCAATGTAGGCATGGCAGTCCCATGGAGTGTCTGGGTTACCAAGATGCATGGTTCCAAAAGTTGGCGATCGAAAATGGTTCGCACTTGCCGATTTCATGCGATTTCGACCTGCGAACGTAGACTGCAGACCTGTAGTGACTGCAAACCCATTCCAAAACGAAGCGAACATTGACAAAGCAAACAAAGCACCCCCCTCCAAAGAGGCGTGTTTTTTGATGTTTTTTGGTGTCCTCTACCAACCCTAGGGCTCCTGGCCCACCTCTGTTTCGAAGGTGGTTGGGGTGGGTGCCAGAGGGGTCTAACTACTGCACCTTCTGAGGAGGTACGACTGGAGCCCCAAACGCAAAATGAGACGTCGTTGTTGCCCACGATTTGGCGGGTAGACGCGTCTGCGGGTAGACGCGTCTGCGTCTGCGTCACAGGGGGACTTTGTTGGGACCCAGCAGGCGGTCATGGCACCGGGTGACCTGGATTGACCACCCAGAATGAATGGACTACCTGAGGATCTGGGAGGTCAACCTACGGTGCCCGCAACACCACGACGATCCTCCTGGTGTAGTGTCCACAGCTACAGCTGAAGGACCAACAGCCAATGTGGGTGTTTCATGCTTTATGCCCAACCCAGCGCCCCAGCGGACAAGCGAGGCACTTGGCGAACATTTGCCGATGTATATGTTGCTTTCCCCCCCTCCCTCAAAATAAGGGAACCTTGCTCAAAACAGTGAAGATTCGACCACCCCCAGCCCCCATCCGTGTAAGGTGTCATGTTGATTACACTACAGCTAACCAACCGAGGTTGAAGAACCCTATAGGCTATCCCATAGGTAGCCTGGTAGGGGCCTATAAGGTCACTTAACCTCTGTTGGAGGGTCACAAGGCGTCATGCAACATCCAAGGTGTTCTTGTCACACATGGATGGTGGAACTGACAGGTCAAACCGCACCCCTTGTCGCCTGGCAACTTTAGGCTGACAATAACCTGGCTGAAAGCGCAAACACAAGGCCATGGACCGAAAATGTGCTATATCTTTTTCAGCTTGAATACAGTACATGTTGTCCATCTATGTGCATCTCACTCTTGGAACATGGAGATCCATATGTTCAAGACTGGGACAACTCAGCTAAACCAAAGCCAGAGTCCATCGTGGAAGGGAAGTTGACCAAGAAAACGTCGAAAGCAAACTGCAAGCATCTCGAAAGCAACATTGTCATTTCCCTAGGGCTCCAACCACATCCTCAGAAGGTAGTTAGACCTCTCTGGCACCCACCCCAACCACCTTCTCAGGAGCCCTAGGGTTTGATGTCATTTGTTTGTGAGTCAAAACCCTGAGCTCACTTCACCAGGTTAGCTTGACCATGTGTTTGTGAGTCTATTCTGTTCATGTCCATGTGTTTGGATGGTGGATGTTCCTGGCCAGCCCTGAAAACCCAGACTTCAACCCAAACACGGCGGCCATTCCATTCGATTCCGATCCCGACCCGACTCGACGGCCAGGTCGGTCCGGTCTGGGACAACCAATACAACCGCATGGGTGGCTTGGATCGTGTTGGCCACCGAAGAGTCTTAGTGGCCAACGGTGGAAGTGGCCAGACCAATCATCCGTATCCAATTGAGGCCATAAGTAGTGTGGACTACCTTTTGCATAGGAGTCACTCTCCCTAGGGATCCAAGTACCTTCTCACAAGGTGATTGGAGACACTCTTATGTGGGTTTTGAGGGTCTTGGTTCTTTTCACAACGTGATCCCTCTAGCAACCCACGAGGGGCTGTGAGGGGCGGGATCAGCGCGAAAGGGTGTGACATGTTCTAAACCTCGAGCTCCAATGTTGACTCCGAGTTCAATGACTGTATGGCGGGTCATATAGGCTCTTGATTACTGGTTGGTGGGTTCAACTCACTTGAAGAATGGCCAGTGGGTTCAATCATGACAAGCATGTGTCGACAAGCACAGGTCGAAACCAACAAAATAACACCCAGATTTAACAACACCCCCACCAAACATGGATTTGTAAAAGCCCTTCAGGCTTGGGGGGTTGAAATACAAAAAAAAAAACACTAATTGGTAAAACTTGGTCCTGAAAACCTCCTTGAGGTAGTGTTTTTGCATGATCAACCCCAGCCAAATGATGTAAAATGAGCTCCAACTGACGAAAATGAGGTCTGAATGTAGAACCCGAGGAATGTCTCCTCGGGGTCTATCGATGTAACTCGCATATCTGGGACAAAAACACGAAGGGTTCTTGCTTCGACGATGTTCCACGGTCGGACCGTGGGCAGTGGGCTCTTCTCGCAGTGGTTGAAGAAGCAGGCACGTTTCCCCCAAGATGTTCAGATTCCATATCAACTGCACCTCTTGGGGTCTGTGCCATCTCAATCCACTGTAATTCAACCAAGGCTGGTGCCGTGGGACCTCGTTTCACTGAGAACATCGGGCCTAACACCGGCCACGGGGGGTTCGACCCCCTACCAGTCCGTGTCAGAAATAGAGCCCCAGGGCATCTGGTGACCACTAGATCTGGGAGTCCCAGTGGTTCCAGTTCGACTAAACCCACAGACCGAACGAAACCCTGGTTCCTTATATAGTGATAACTGGGATCCACTAGGGGCCAGTCTACCCTCACCCCAGTTGATGTTGAGATGAGCACATGCAAATTGAAGCAAAATCTCTCAATCCATCGCCAATCTCTCAGGCACCATGGGCCTCTGGGAAGAGAGCGGCTCTAGCACAAACCTGGCTGTGCACAGCAAAAGTCTTCACGAAAATCGATTGACGCAGCCGATCTCAGACAAAAAAAAATTAGAAAACAGGACCCAGGTCCAAACCAGGTCCTGAAAGCCTCTGTAAGAGTAGTGTTTTTGCACGATCAACTAAAATATAATGAACTCAAACTGACCTGTAGTTGTAGCCAGCTCACTGCTGAAAACCATGTAGTGCACAAACATGTCTCTGTGATACCAACTGCATGGGTATGATCATTGGCTTCCTTCCCGCAAATAAATCATGTACCACGCAAACCGTTTTAGAAAGGAACCACCTTCCATCGAATAGATCGAAAAGAAGACCCCTGCATGGCAAGTTATCCATATCAAGTATGCTGCTCTTCATCCACCGTGTGGCTCACACAAATGCACCCAGCTTTCTCCATGTAAATAAATAAATATTCATATATATATATAAATATTACATGTATAAATTACACCAAAGCCCCCTAATCCGGTGTCTATTAGCTAAAAAGAGCGTGTCCATCAACCACCCCCTTGTGGGTCCAAGTGATGTAATTTTAATATGACATAATATTACTATACTATATATATAACCATTAAATATCTATCATAGGTATGTAATACATCAGAAATATCCTTAAATATAATATACCTAGAACCTGATTGGGGAACCCTTTTTTTTAACCCCCCAACCTCTTTGTTTTAACCTCCACCCTTTTTTTCAACCCCCCGACCCTGTTTTTTAACCCCCAACCTCTTTTTTCTAGCCCCAACCTCTCTTTTTTAACCCCCCAACCTCTCTTTTTTAACCCCCCAACCTTGCTTTTCTAAACCCCCGACATCCCCCGACCTTTCTTTTTTAACCTCCAACCTCTGTTGGACACCCGGCCCTTACTTTTTGAGAGCTGGAGGGGGGGTTGTCGTTTTCGTTCTCGTTGTCGTTGTGGTTGCTGTGGTCGTCGTTGTCGTTGTCGTTGTCGTTGTGGTTGTGGTTGTGGTTGTGGTTGTTGTTGTTGTTGTTGTTGTTCTCGGGGGGGGGGCGCAGCGCGCTGCTGGTGTTGTTGTTGTTGTCGTTGGATTTGTTGTTGCTGTTGATGTTGTTGATGTTTTTGTTGCTGTTCAACACGTGTGCAGGCGTCAGGGGGACTGTTTGAAAACAAAGAAAGCCGGAGGAGGGCTCGGGGGG